GATGATTTCCTGCAGCTGAGCGCACGGCCAGTTGAGCACAGATCAAGGAGGCGAGACGGTAGCCCATCAGGGCTGAATTCAAAGTACAGCACATTTTCAAAAGTGGAGAGCCTTGCATCGTTTCTTTCTTCTCTCTGCGGTTTGGGAGTAAAGGTTTAGGCACAACTGGTTAAATTGGATAATAAGCGAACAGCCGATGCACTTTTGGCCTTTTTTTTTTTTTTTTTAAACAAAAACACAGCAACAAATTGATACCAATTCTGCCAGGTTGTGTCACCAACAAATGCAGCTAAATCATTTCTATCATCATTGATTTGACATTTGATTTGACAATTCTGAGGTTCTTGGTTCGAAACGGAACGGTGAATGTGAATGCTTGTGAATATGTGCCCTGTGATTGCCCGGCGACCAGTCTAGGGTGTGGTCCATCACTCGCCCGGAGCCAGCCGGGATAGCCTTCAGCTCACCTTAGACACGAAATTAATATACACACTGTAGAAAAAAAACGGATGAAAAGTTGCATTGTACATTACAGTTGATCAGCAGTTAGCACGTCTGCTTGACAGTATAGAGGTTCAGGGTTCGAATCCGGAATCCGGCCATCTTGTGCGGTTTGTATGTTCTCCTGGTCCATCCATGGTAGGTTGATTGGACGGGATTTCATCCCGAGGTGCGATTGTGAGTGGCCGTTTGTCTATGTGTGGCTTGCGACCAGTTCAGGGTGTCCGAAGACAACTGGGACAGACTCCAGCAGGCAGCTCGCATCATGGACAGACGGGCATTTCCAAATGCTTACTTTTTACATATCCATCAAATAAAGTGTCTAGCTAGTGTACAGTATCTAAAATGTAACATGACAACTTATCTGATATGAGTTGAATTTCATTTACTATCCCAGACGCTGACAATTGTAAGTAGACTGGTTTCTTTCCAAACCAAAATATGCAAGAGGATGTCAAGTCTCTCCACAGATCTCGAAATGGATATGACACAAAACATCCACGAGACAATTGTTGCGTGAATAATAAAGAGCAGACAAAGTGTCGGTTATGACAACATTTTATTGGACTGGCCCCAAACCGTGACATCATCAACTGCAATACAACCTTTGAGCCCACTTCCCTCTTTGTGATATTCAGAAACATGCAATATTTTTGGTTTTTTTTGCCAACAAAAATAGGCTTTCTGTGCAGTGCATTTACACCTGGTGCCCTACAAACATTTCAAGCTTTTTTTTTTAATATCCGCCAACATTTACACCATCAAGGGGGACCTGTGGAGGGAGAAGTCATTGTCATATAATATTCATAATACACATTCCGAAGATGGTAACTTACAGTTCAACATAAGTCAGTCATGAAAAATCATCTCGGTTCTCTCGCTAAGGCGCCTGGAAGCAAATGCCAGACACTGAAAATTGCAGCAAAAAAATAAAAACAAAAGGAGAGGAAAAAAAAAAAACATAACAAACCTCTGTCCCAGTGCGAGGACGGCAGTTCTTTGTCGTCGTCATGATGGCCGTTGTCGTCATCATCATCTCGGTGCCTTTGGTGCGCCATTGCCTTCCTTGGAGCGCTCGATTCTGCCAATCAAACGCCAATTGGTGACATCGCTCTATGTTGATTCTATGCCAAGCAGTTAAATGCCCAAAAGCCCCTCGGGGATTGATTTCCTGAACCAACATGGGTGTCCCTGCCAGGTGTTTCCGAATTTGGAAAGCTGTCAAGTCACCAAGTACATATTTGCTGCTCTATCTTAAATGCTGAAGTCGCACATGACAATTAAGTCATCATCTTTGGACCTTGTCGCTGCACAGGAGACGCTTGCCATCTTCTGGGAACGCCTCCTCCACCGCCGTCGGCCCTTTTGCTTTGCTCGGACACGCCGTGCTCCTCTCTGCAGAATCTGTCTGTGAACAGCCACGACAAAATGTGTATATTTATGCTTGAATGTGATACATTTCCATTCAATGTTAAGAATACACCAAGAGATGACACACCCTGACAGGTTCTGCACTGCAGCTCGCCGCCGCTCATCTCGACAGGCTTGCCATCGTAACCCTGGTCGGGGTCCGGAGAGTCCGCAGGCTCCTTGTAGGGGCTCCTTTTGTACCAGGACTTGGCAGGCTGCCTCAGGGGGCCCAAGGAAAGCTTCCTGGGGGTGAAATGCTTTCTGGGTGGCACTCTTTCGTACCTGACATCCTCCTCGGAGTCGGCGGCCTCGTCCCTATACGCCTTGACGCCGTGGCCTTTGCTTCGACCGCTGCCTTTGGGCAGACTTTTCCCGCAGCAGGCGCACAGTAGCCTCTTGGGGGAGGGAAGCCACGCGTGCTCCGCTGCGTCGTGGCCCCCCGCAACTTCTGGTAGCCTTCCGCCCGTGTAGGCCTGCCTTGGGAAGAGATCCCCGTCCTCTAGGTCTGTGGAAAACATTTCATCCCGAGAGGAGAGCTCATCCAGGGACGGGCTTAGGACGCTCATGCGCTCGTGGGTGCTCTGCATGGAGAGGCGGTGGTGGTGGTGGTAGTAGTAGGGTGGGCTAGCAGAGGACGAGACGCGTGAACCTGCCGCTGAGGTGAAAACACCTTCTAAAGGCATCTGAAGGATCTTGTAATCTGTATCGACTTGGCTCAAAGCTTTGCAGCCACTCTTTTCATCCTTCAGCTTCCCAGACGAAAGAGTCACAGAAGGCGATGGGGGCCTGGCAGAATCGACTCGCTTGACGGTGTCGTCGGCATCACATTTGGGAGTGCTGTGATCAGCCACCGGAATATCTGACTGGATATTTGTGACTTCTGACTTATCGCAAGCGAGGAAAAACTCCAGCGACGCTGGATGCTCAGGATCAGGACCGTCCTCGTGAAGGGAAGAACTGTCGAGAGGCAGCTCCACTTCCAAACTTCCGGACCAGCATGCCTGAGGGCTCGAGGCATCCAGGCTCCTGTGGCTGGATTCGGCATCATACACAGCTGCGGTGGAGTCACTGAATGCCGCAGTCGGAGACTCTAAACGAGTCGCATCCGGCACCGCTGACATAAGGTTAGCATCGCCTTGCTCTTGAGCTTTCTTCTCCTCGACCGAGGACATCCCGGAGGACTGCGACGCCATTCCAGAGTCCAGCTCCCTCTCGGTGGCTCGGCTCTTGTCCAGGGAATCCAGCAGTTTGCTGATGGCGTCGCTGGGGTCGGTCTGGACCTCGGAGCTGACCGTCTCTCGGCGGGTGTGAGACTGCTGATGCTGTGGCGGTCGCGGAGCGTCGTTCCAGGCGGGAGCGTAGAAGCGAGGCTCAAACATGCGTCGGGAATCCATGGGATACAACGGGGAGTGAGGGACAACGAATCCCGGGTACGGCATGTACTGGTAAGGAGTCATATAGGGACGGCCGAAATGAAAGCCTAGATTTGAACACAAAATTTATTTATATATACATTTATAACGGAACCCCATAACAGAAGTCCAGGGGACTTCTATCTGGAGACTTACGAATGCAAAGGTCTTCTAATTTGATACCTGTAGGCAGGCCATAGTGGTTATAGGGGTTGTTCATCTGCCAGTGTTGATAAATGTAGTAAGGTTGGGAGGGAGGCTGCACATAGAAAAAAGGTCTGGGGTGATGACCTCTCTGCTGCCCGTTGCCACAGGAATTCGGTGGCCTGCCTCCATCTGGAATGAAATCAGACTTAATGCCAGAGATACAGTTCACTGCGGTTGGGATCTTGATCGAAAGCCAATAAAAAGGAACAACACAACATGGAGGAACGCAAGCCAGGGAGCATTAACGACAACTGCAACAGATTCGCTATTCTTCATTTCCTCATCCACCAACTTATTTAAAAGAATAGTTCGCTGTTCGCACCAAGAATTGTCTGTAACCAATGCATTGAATTCAAATATATTTTTTCAGCTTTAAAGATTCAAAATGTATATTTAATCGGGGTGGGGGGGGGTTATGGGCTAAAAACATGCCTGTAAAATATAGTTTTTCAGGTGCAATCATTTGCTAGGTTAGCATTTTTGTTGATCGGTTCACAACAGTAGCAAAACTATGGGAGTGCATTGTTTTGATAAGCTATTCAGTCATTTTGTTTGGGTTGGGTTTTTTTTTTTTTGCTTTTCAATGCAAGCACTGCGCAAGTTAATGGAATAAAAACAAAGAGAGCACCCCCCCCCCCGCCAAAAAAAAAAGAAAATGGGAACCGTAATTGACAATTAAATACTTTTGTAATCATGGTTCCAACTCTTTTCGTCGCTGAGTCTAGGCCTTGGGCCTAGCCCATGTGACAACGTGTGACTCCACAGACTTTCGTGTTTTCAAGTAGATGTGTGCAAGGGTGCAGATGCATAGGAAGATGCAAAAACAGAAGAAAAGGTCGCAGCAACAGATGGGACGCGACTTAAAAAAGAATTCCTTACCTTCCATGTCTTCCGTCCTTTCTTTCCTTACACTGGGGCCGTCCGAAATAAAAAAAAAAACCCACAGAAGCACAACGGCCGACAAATAAGCAGCAACAAGCTTTCAAACTTAGTGTCCGAATCGTTTAACAAGTCACTGAGAACTTGAACCGACCAAAAACTTGTAATTAGTTCAACAGCCCGCACCTGGCTGCAGCGATAAAGGAATACTGGTCCTCAATGGATGAGGAGGCAAACTAATAAAATCAAAAGCAGACAAGACTGCGTCAAAATGGTGATGTGACAAAAAAACGTGCTTGGTGTGTAATTAATAAGTAGATAGACGGGCGCATTTTGTGTGGCTGTGTGTGTAACAACGTGGACAGTTAAAAAGTTTAAATTAATTTAAAAAACAACAAATGCAGATAAGCGGATGTTGGACTAATGAACAGTCCTAATTGTTTTCCTTTATATTTTTGGTAAATACTCAAGGTTTACAAATCTATGAATAAGATGAATTTCCTGTTTTATAAATTTCTCAGATTAATGTAAATATATGCTAAATATAAAAAAAAAAGTAAATCATGGACAATTTTATACGCATGCGCATTAAGCTTAGTCGCTCGGACTGAGTAATAAAGGAATAAATAAATCCATAAATGAATAATAAATATATACTGGCCTTCAGTATGACGGTTTGATCAGTTAAAACGTTTACGTGGCTAACAAAATAAAATAAAAAAGAATAAATTAATGTGGTCACTGAATTCAGTGGGACCGTTTTACAGGCATGCGCAGTTTGCTTTCGCCGACATGGCGGATGTAAATGAATGAATGGATGAATAAATGAAGAAACAAACAAACAAACAAACAGTTGGAGTGGTGGTATAGCACTAAAAACGTCTTATTGGGGCGGTTGTGTTATTTTACACATTTAAGTGAGGTGAAAATAACGAATGCGGTTCCGGTAAAATAGTGAGTTTTCTACGCACGCGCAGTGTGGTCCTCCTTCGGCCTCCGCGACTGGGTGCTTTCAGGCGCTTGAAAATGCGCTGGAAGGCTGTCATCTCGGCTCAACCGAACTCAGTTATTTACCATCGAAACTCATCTTTTGGACTACGTTCTACACCTCCCGTTGGCAAGAAACCACTTCGTGACCTCTCGTCGCTTGGAGTCATCATCAAACGAGCGTGAGAAAAGCATTCTGCTTCGTGTTTGAGGCGTCCGGGAGGAGGAAGAACTAGACGAGCGTTTAGCTTGCCGTTAGCCTACCCGTGTCGTTGACTCGCAATGGCCACCGTCTTTGTTTGTTTATTTTTTTTGTCTTTCTATGAAGATATTTGACACATTTGACTCAATTCTGGAGACATTTGATTTTGGTTCGCGGGGGCAAGCGGCATGATTGATGGCGCGAAGACGGAGAGCCAAAGCCACTAACTAATTGGCCGCGGCGTTGCTAATGTTACTTGAGCCGCGAACGGAACATTACATGGAGGCGGACTGATTTAGCCGTGCGCTCGATCAAAAGGCGAAGGCGCTCGACTCCCGGCTCCCCGGGGGGTGATTTGTCGAGTCGACTGTGAGAAGAGTGTGTTAAGTAACAGTGTAATGTGTTAATGAAGAGGAGACCATTTTTATGTTTGGACATTGGGGTGATGACGAGCTAACCCCCGCTTAGCACACCGTAAGGTTCCTTTCAAAATGTGATGGCCGGAAACGTCACTTCTAACGAATACGAAACACGATTTTGCCGTTTGTCCACTTTTTAGGTCTTGAATTAAAATTACCCCAAATAAAAAGCAGTGAGAAGGATGGCATGCTTGTATCATCCAATCCCGATTAGCTGTTAGCGTTTGCAAGACACCACACCCCACAACGGATTGTTGTCGTTTATAAAAAACACCCCCAGAGTAGGCGGCATGGTGATCGAGTGTTGAGCACGTCGGTCCCTTTTGTTCGAAGTTTCCGGCCTGTGTTTGAATCTTTCCTTCCTGTGGAGAGTTTGCATCTCCCAACATTGCTCGCTTGCGTGGGCTCCCGCCCACATCCCTGAAACATGCATATTTTCCCCAGGCTGTAATTCATATTTCAGCCGGGAAGCAATGAGTATAAAAAGGTAGATAGATGTCATCTATGTCAGCAAGCCGTTGGTGGTCATCGAAGAGGTGAATAGAGGTTGTTATTTACAGCTGCCGGACACATGTAAAGGTGACAAAATGACACTTGACATGTGAAAGATAAATGGGCGGCTCATTTGTAGAAAGCTAATATTATACTCACTGGTATATGGTCTTTATCCTCTGGAAAAGCAAGTAATATTAGTGACGTGCTGAGAAGTACAGAGGAGCTGACCCTCCAATACCGTATATCCAAGCACACCAGAAGACGCAGCACAATTGAAGGAGGAACGTGTGACAAAAAAAAGGATCCGTTATTTTATTTGTGTAATCACAAAATGTTTTGATCAAGTGTCATATTGAGGGCAGTTGTTCTTCATCGAACACTTTTGAGTTTGTTTTGTTGTTTTTAGGCTGGACTGCATTCATGGCATTTGCGTTGATTTCAATGGGGAAAGATCAGAAGCTTGATTGATGAAAGCCACAGCTTGTCATTTATAGTGGAAGTGAACACAGGATTGTCTTTGTTTGCCTTCGAGTTGCTGGTGACTTTCCATTCATTCCTGGGTAACATTATCAGCAGTGATACAAGTGGAGCACTGTTTAGATGAAAACAACAATAAACCTCAGGGGTGTTTGTCATCGTCTTTTCCGCCGGACGTCTGACTCATCCCAGCTGCGCTCCTTGTCTTCCGTCTCCCGCAGGCCGCTGCTGATATAGTTGTGTTGTGACGCTGGTCCCGCGTTGCCACTACCTCCAGCCTCCTCCCGCCCACCCCCCGGTGCCTCTTTGCCGCTGTATGACCTCTAACCTCTAGCCTCAAGGCAGAGGATTTCTTCCTCCGGAGCCCCCAAGCTTGCCCTTCGCCTCCTCGCCAAGGAGCAGCTGAGTGACTCCACTTGGACAAGAGGAGCTGTTGGATCCCCCTCCCTCCCTCCTTGTCCCAGAATCCCCCAGAGGTCTGAGTTTTTTTTCTTCTGGTGATATCGAGCCCGGCTCAGCCGGCCGCGCAAACTCTTCAAAACTGGGGCGCGATTCGTGTGATGCGACCATGTCGGGTCTGGGCGAGCGCCGGCCGGTCAACGCGGACTATGCCGTCTCCCTGCTGGAGCAGCTCAAGTTCTTCTACGAGCAGAAGCTGCTGACGGACGTGGTGCTGCTGGTGGACGACACGGAGTTCCCGTGCCACAAGATGGTGTTGGCTGCGTGCAGCTCCTACTTCAGGTCAGTTAGTGTGCGCCCCTCAAGTTTTACATGCGGGGAAGAAACCCTCTGATTGGTGGCGGCGGTGTGTGCGCAGGGCGATGTTCATGGGCGGCCTGAGCGAGAGCAAGCAGACGCACGTGCACCTGAGGAACGTGGACGCCGCCACGCTGCAGATCATCATCACGTACGCCTACACAGGCCACCTGGCCATCAGCGACAGCACCGTGGAGCCGCTCTACGAGACCGCGTGCTTTCTGCAGGTCAGCCGGCAGCTGCCGTACGCTTGTATAAAATGTTATTGGGGCTGGAAAAAAATAATAAAATCCCGTGGCCATTTGTTTCGCAAATGTCCGTCCAGGTGGAGGACGCCCTGCTGCAGTGCCGCGATTACCTGGTGAAGAAGATCAACCCCGAGAACTGCGTGCGCATGCTGAGCATCGGCGACCTGTTCAGCTGCAGCGAGCTGAAGCAGAGCGCCAAGCGCATGGTGGAGCACAAGTTCCCCGTAGTGTACCGGCAGGACGCCTTCCTGCAGCTGTCGCACGAGCTGCTGCTGGACGTGCTGAGCAGCGACAACCTCAACGTGGAGAAGGAGGAGACCGTGCGAGAGGCGGCCATGCTGTGGCTGGAGTACAACATGGAGGCGCGCTCGCAGCACCTGTCGTCGGTGCTCAGCCAGATCCGCATCGACGCGCTCTCCGAGGTGACGCAGCGGGCCTGGTTCCAGGGCCTGCCGCCCAACGACAAGTCCGTGGTAGTGCAGGGCCTCTACAAGTCCATGCCCAAGTTCTTCAAGCCGCGCCTGGGCATGACCAAGGAGGAGATGCTCATCTTCGTGGAGGCGCTGTCCGAGATGCCGGTCATGAACGTGATGATGCCGCTGGTGCCCGCCATGGTGTGCTACAGCCCGCAGGCCGAGAAGGTCTACAAGCTGCGCAACCCGCCGCGAAACCTGCAGAAGGTGGGCACGCTGGTCACCCCCGACAACGACGTGTTCATCGCCGGCGGCGAGGTGGTGCTGGAGAACGCCTTTAGCCACAGCGGCGGCCTGCTGGTGGCGGTGGACAGCTTCTTCTGGCTGGACGCCCAGCAGAACACGTGGGTGGCCAAGACGCCCATGCTGTGCGCCCGCCTCAAGCCCTCGCTGGTCTACTGCGACGGCTGCATCTACGCCGTGGGCGGCGACAACGTCGGCGGCGAGCTCAACCGGCGCACGGTGGAGCGCTACGACCGCGTGAAGGACGAGTGGAGTATGGTGAGCCCGCTGCCGCTGGCGTGGAGCTGGAGCACGTGCGTGGCGGCGCACGACTGCATCTACGTGCTGACCCTCAACCTCATGTACTGCTACCTGCCGCGCACCGACGCGTGGGTGGAGATGGCCGTTCGCAAAACCAGCCGCTGCTACGCCTCGGCGGCCGCCTTCGGGGACCTCATCTTCTACGTGGGCGGCCTGCGCAGCTCGGTTCGCGGCACAGACACGTCGATCAGGAGCTACTCGCAGGACAACTCCGCGCACGACGTGGAGATCTACGACATCAACAAGAACGAGTGGCGCCAGGCCGCCAATGTCCCCGCCACGCCCGACGTGGGCCACTGCGTGCACGCCGTGGTACTGCTTGACGGGGTGTGCATCTTTAAGCGTGAGACACACATAAACGACCGGCCCAAGTACTCCATCTACAAGTACGAGGTGGAGCTGGACCGCTGGTACCTGCGGCAGCCCGTGTCGGAGCGCGTGCTCTGGGAACTGGGCACCGGCTTCCACTGCACTGTGGGCAAGCTGTACCCATCCTGCCTGGAGGAGTCCGCGTGGAAGCCGCCCGCCTACCTCTTCTCGCCCGACGGCGCCGAGGAGTTCAACATGGATGGGGAGCTGGTGGCCCTCCCCCTCGTATAGCTCTCAGGCACCCCCCTGGTGAGCCAGCTGGGGGTGTGGGGCGTGTGAACCCTCGAAAGGACGCAGAATCTGCCACTCGGGGACGTTGGCTCCAAACGTAATGGACGTACTAACCTCGCAAACTTCTTTTCTTCTTGAGCTCGTAACGTGGTGGTGGTGGGGGGGGCGGGGGTCTGTTCTAACACGTTTGCCCTCACGGTTCCTAGGCTTAAGGATTCGATTCTCTTGGTTTGCTGCGTGGAGTTTGCATGTTCTCCCCGTGCTTGCGTGGGGTTTTTGTTTTTTGTTTTTTTTCTGCGGGTACTCCGGCTTGCTCCCACATTCCAAAACCATGCATGTCAGCTCAATTGGCCAAAAGTGTGAGTGAGAGTTTTCCGTCACTTTTTCTCTTCAAACACGACCCACAAAAAAAGGTTTGGGATACAGTGAATTGGGACCGAGCCCTGCCGTGCATAGCAACTGTTCTCTTGTTGCCTCGGGATGCCATAACAGGGTAGCTAAGGACGACTTATGACGAAATGCGACTCCAAATACTTTTTACATTAAGGTGGCGCCAAATCAACACTTTTCACCGTCCAATTTTTCAGTGAATAAAGGCGAGGTTCTCTCGCCTGCCTTTGAGTGACTTCTCGACTCCATCTCGACTGTTGCAACACTGAATTTATAGTGCCATCGGCAGCTTTCCACAGAGATAGTGGAAGCCGAAAAGCCCTCCCCAAATAATTGCATAACTTTTTGGGAGTGGTGTTATGTGCCCTGCAATTGCCTCTCGCCCAAAAATCAGCTGGGATAGGCGCCAAGTGGGATCCAAAATTGGTTGGCTGGCTCATCTCTGGGTGCTTCAACACTCACCCCGCCCTTTTTCTATTCTCCCCGTCCTCCGACCGTGATTGGACAATCTCTTCAACTGAGAGTGACATCGGGATTAATATATCAAGCAACTTTCCGGAGAACAAAGAAAAGAAAAAAAAGGTTTGCTGTGGCAGTACAGGGGCAGGGAGACTGTAGATACCCCTCCCCCCCTTTCCTCTCTTGGTTGTGGGCAACAAGGGTGACTGCGGGTCCAGTCGCTCGCCCACTCTGCCCTTGGCTACGCCCACTGCGCCTGGGGCCTTCCACACAACCATCGATTAACGCCTCACGCTATGCTGGTGATCGTCATTGGTAACACACACACACACACACACACACACACCTCTTCTCAGCAGTTCTCATTTCTAAGCTGCTGAAGTATGATAAATATCTATTTTTCATATGTTTGAAATGTGTTACAGTTTGGGGACGGGGTGACGACTACCAGTTCTATTTTGTATTCGTGTTTTTTTATGTGTGTGTGTGTGTATGTATACACACACACACACACATATACATGTTAGACATTACTGTAGTGTGACTGTGGCTGGAAGTTGGTCCTTGTTCATTAAGCGGGCCTGGGAGCTTGTTGCCCTGGAAACCAGCCCTTGGCAACCACTAGCAGGAGTCTGGCGTGGTGGGATCTTAAACTCCATGAGCACAGGTGCTTCATGGCGGACGTTTGGAGCATGTTTGGCTGCATCGTATTCCGTTGGCACTGTTTCCCCTCTGAACTATAATTTATTAAAGTATAATCGAAAAGAGTTTCTCATTTTCGTCGAATGGAATGGAGTTGGATTTGTCGCAAAGCATAAAATTCTTTATTTTTTACAGGACAAGTCTGCAAACATCCATTTCTCCAGCGTGCAGACAAAACATGTTGATATTTGATTGAAATTCATACAAGACAAATAAATAAGACCAATGAAAGTAGAAAAGGCCGAACGTGACAAGCAGGTGAAGGTTGTCAGTTTTCATTCAGGAAGTTGAATTATACAGAAGGATTATTGTCATGACAATGTGCCTGTTCAAGTAACAGCATTGGCTTTTAATTATTTTTTTTTTCCAGATTGTCGGAAGTATTATTCAAAGAAAAACCTTTTCTCTCTCAAAATGTCTTACTTCCTGGTGTATTTCAGCTAAAAGAGGCTTCTAGAATATATTTCTATGGTCTTGAAAATCCCCAAATTACCTGTTCCTGATCAGTTGAAATAAGCACGTCGATAGCCTAAATATTTTATAAAAAGGGGAATTTGAGCATTATAAAACTACTTTAAAAATGTGTGTATAAACTGCAACTTGCTAAGGTCGTAACCTTTGCTCAGTCAACAGTGAATTGGTTTGTCTTTTGTTACTAAAAAAATACCCCCAAAATGTTATTTCCCCATTTTGATTCAGCAGCACAATATCGCCGCCGAACACCTGCCCCAAAGTAACCATGCTGTTACCAAGGCAACCACAATGTTATGACAGATGAGCTGGACTGGTGTAGTGGTAAATGCGGATGGCATCAAAGTTGAGAGCGTCCGTCGTGCTCCACAGAAGGTACTCCAGCGATCCGAAACGTCGTAACCTTTGCTCAGTCAACAGTGAATTGTCTGTGAATTGAGTTTGTCTTTTGTTACTAAAAACATACCCCCAAAATGTTGATATTTCCCCATTTTGATTCAGCAGCACAATATCGCCGCCAAACACCTGACCCAAAGTAACCATGCTGTTACCAAGGCAACCACAGTGTTATGACAGATGAGCTGGACTGGTGTAGGGGTAAATGCGGATGGCATCAAAGTTGAGAGCGTCCGTCATGCTTCACAGAAGGTACTCCAGCGATCCGAAACAGCAGTGATGTGAACAGTGCAATCACGTCGGCGCCACTTTGTTGCCAAGAGGGTCAAGTCTCTGGTGGTGGGGGGACCAACCTGACACGAGCCGGGTCATGGTTGAGCCTGGTCAGCGGCAGCGTCCGGGATGTGTGTATAAACTGCAACTTGCTAAGGTCGTAACCTTTGCTCAGTCAACAGTGAATTGGTTTGTCTTTTGTTACTAAAAAAATACCCCCAAAATGTTATTTCCCCATTTTGATTCAGCAGCACAATATCGCCGCCGAACACCTGCCCCAAAGTAACCATGCTGTTACCAAGGCAACCACAATGTTATGACAGATGAGCTGCAGTTTAACATCGGCGACGCTGTACTGTCCCTGGAACGGATGTCTGCAGCACACCAGGTTTGTTGAACAGAACAAGATAAAACTGGATCATTAAAACATTTTTTCTTTTTTTTTTTTTAACTTTGTCATTAAAGCCCCACCCAGCCCTGACAAAGATTCGTAATTGCTTATGGATGCCACAAGATGGCAGCAAAGCATTATATTTCGATAAGGTGAATGGCGTATTTATATGGGGCTCCCCTCCTCCCTTAAATACAGTTCCTTGGCAGCTAAATGCAACTTTTATATTCGACAAGACACCAAAACAGCAAATAAATAAAGATCAGAAACCAGCTTTTAGGAAATCAGGCATTTGATGCCAAAAGGACAAGGCGGCGTTACCCTGGCGTGACGGCGGCCATGGCGGCATGCTTGTTGCTGTGCCACAGGCGGTAGTTGTGCGTGGCCTTCCAGCTGGTGATGAAGGGGGTGCCGTAATCCGCCAGCAGCCTCTCGTTATCTGCCACAAAAGACGTGTGGGAATGTTGACAATTGCAATTTGCATTTCTTTCAAATTGTATTCATGCATTTAAAAAAATGTGCTTGTCTAGCATTAATAGCTCGTATAACCGCGCTTTTGCGATTCTTGGCGGCATCCCCAGAGGGCGGCTGAGGTGTGAACGTGACTCCTCGCACCTTCTTGCAAGCAGGACGCCAGCAGGGCGTGGATGTAGACCGCGAACTGCGCCCGGATCCACTCGTCGCCGCCCTCCCAGCCTGTCCCGTCCAGGAAGACGTCATCGCGGTTCTCCGTCACATGCTTCAGCAGGTAGTCGGCGAAGCGCAGGTCGGCCGTGGTCAGGCCCAAAACTTTTCTTAACTCGCCGTCGTGGATCTGTATGCTGGCCTACGGGGAAGCCGCTTGAGAGATTCCATTCCGAGAGGGAATAAACGCTCTGCCATTTTTCCATCTTCGCTCACCTCCTCGACCTCCACCACGGCATCGCTTAGGTGCCTCTGCTGCCGGAAGAGGACGTTGGTTGCCCCGGCGACAAAGCCGCGCACCGACACGTCGGACAGAAGGTGGTGCTGCTGCAGCGCCATGTACGGGAGACACAGGTAACCCTGTAGGCAAGGTGGGACGCTTCATTAGGCACATTGCCACCATATTGGGAAGAAGCATTTTGCTTCTCATCACCGCAGCACACTGGACGAGTGGGTGAGCCTGTCTGCCGAACTGTGTCAGGGTTCTGGGTTAGAATCTGTGCCCAGGCCTTGCTATGTGGATTTGTGTACTCACATTGACTGGCAGCAACCAGTTCAGGGTTTCTCTATATGTGGCCTGACACTGACTGGCAACCCATCCAGGGTGTACCCGGCTTCTCTCCCAAAACTCGGCACTTTCAACCCTCGTCCGCATGTCGCCACACATAAAGAGGGATGAGCACGTAAGCGCGATTCAACCAATGTGTATTTACTTTGGTGAAGATGGCAAGCGGCATGCCGTACTGGTCCTCCTCCAGACCCGACAGCAGCCCCTGTGCGACGGCGCCCTGCCCTCCGAGCGGCTGCACCGTGATGGGCACGGCCGGCGCCTTGCCCTCCGCCCCCTCGTCCAGCACGCCGGGGTCCAACGTCTCCCAGTCGCTCTCCGATGACTCGGGGGATGCGCGGGAGGGCGGCTTGAGGAGAGGCTCGGCGCCGTTGCTGGAGGGCGACCCCCGGGAGTCCCCATCGCCCCGCAGCTCCGAGGCGGACACCGCCTCAAACTCCTCGGCGCCCGAGACGCTCGCCGCTAGGTTCGGGTCCTCCGACAGGCTGCTCTTGGGCTGGTAGTGCGAAGACTCCACCAGGCCGTGCTCCATCATGCCTGTGCACACGCATGCACGCAGGCGCGATGGTGAATGCCGTACCTAATGAAGTGGCCGATCTTTGCGCATTACGCACCTGGGAACAACGACAGGACTGTCATCAGCGTTCCCACGAGTCTGCTGACGGGCGACACGTAGAAGAGGACCTATGGAGGGTGACCGGTCGTCAGTCACAAAGCAGCAACACAGACAGGAAGTAGACTGTGTATGTGTGTGCTTGATGACACCTTCTTCTCCAGCAGGATGAGCTTGACAAGGATGAGAACCTGTGGGGATGGAAGACGATTTCTTTGGATTTGGACATTCAGCTCGTTGGGTGTGTTTTTGTTTTGTAACCCAATGAACAAAGTGTCACAATATTTAATGTCCAAATTGGACATTTTTCACTTCATTTTTCCATCGGCATCCCAAAACTTTTGTCCCATTTGTATATTTTTTCCACTTCATGTGCTGTGCCCAAACGTCCACATTTTGCGCATGCTCCTTCATCTTCTACCTTGTGTCTGAAGTGCAGGATGAGATCTCGCGGTGACAAGCCTGCAGGGAGACGAAAAAGCTCATCGCCAAAGAAACAAAGAAGAGCCAACGTGGACATTTGCATCTGACAAGGACATACCGAGGAAGACCTGCGAGCCGTCCAGAGCGGAGCCCCTCAGGGAGCCGTTCATGTGCTCGTAAAGTTCCTGCGGAAAAAGCCAATTAAAAGGTGAGTGGTGTCCGCATGCGTGAAGCGGAAGATGCTTTCTCACCTTCAGGATGGAAATTTGAGAGAAGTCTTTCTCCTCAAAGTAAGCGTGTGTGATGAGCTGCAGTTTGGCTTGGACAAGACCGAACAGAGGCTGCAAACGACAAACAACTTAGCTGTGGGGAAAAAAAGCTTTAGTGGACTTGGGCGCTGGAGTCCACGCCTTTTCATTAGCGACGTAGCATAACGTGAGCGGCGTGCCTCACCACCCGGCTCAGCACGCAGACGCTCTTCTGCACCGTTTCCCGGGTCACGTCGGCCTGTCGGACCTTCAGCGCCTGAGAATGGGAATGACACCCAAAAAAATTCAGCAATTGGCCGCACTCTCAATCAAAGAATGGTTGTCACATCGTCACCGTGGCAACCTAGCATGACCGACCTTGGCCTCAATCTGCCGGTAGCAGGACACACCGTAGACGCACTTGGTGTCTCTGCCAAGCGGGGGGAGATGGAAGTAGACCGTATCTGCAGGACAAGAAAAAAAAAAATCACCTGTGAGGGGCGGCCATGTTTGTTTGACACAGGAGGTGAAATTTAGCTTTCCACAGCAGGTGCACTCGTACCTTCCAGGTAGTTGTGCGCTCCGTCGGGCAGCGCCAGGAACGGGAGGTACTTCCACTCCTCGGGCAGCATGTTGCTATCGTGACCCTCATGCGGCATCAGCGGCGGGTACGAAAACTCCACCTGATGTCGGACAGAAACAAAAAGTACATACCGCAAGTAGTGACGTGACAAAACTGTACAAGTAAACATTTATGATTCTTGGACTTCATTAGGTATACTAACCCACAGTTTTGCCTCACTAGCAACATGCAATTGCTCTTCCAGTGGGCAGAAATGTCATAGAGTAGTAATACTAGTTGCATACTTAGGATGTGTAACCATACAAGTGGCAGACTATGGAAGGAGGAGAGCCTGTTGGCGGAGTCACGCGCTTCCATCGCAAACGCGTGCTTCTTTTGTCATGCGAAAAAGACTAAATGGCAACGTAGCTGCCTAACAGGTGTTGGTTTGCAGAACAGGTTTTGTGTACCAGCTCAATCAAAGCACAACAAGCAGGTTTGGCTTCCCACCAACAAAGATGACAACAGAGCACCAGCAAGATCATCTGACAGGAAACCAAAATCCTAACGCTGCTTTGAAACTCCGACCTTGGTTTGAAAACCTAAATGGACGCTCCAATTCAGACTTGAAACCCTACTTTAAAATATGTATACCACCTAGACACCCATAGTTGAAACCCTATTCCAGTGTTGAAACCGTAACCATGACTTGAAGCTCTACTTTTAAATCGCAAGCCATTTAAACCCTACTTTGGGATGTTGCTGTTGTCTTTTGTGCAACAACAACTGGAGCATCAGCTGGAAAGATGTGCAGGACGTTACGTAACCACCAAAAAACAGCTGATGCATCATCATGATCATTATCATCATCATCATCATCGCCCCTGCCTTCTTTCGTGTGGTCGTAATTTAGCTGTTAGCATGTTGCTGTCGTGGTATGTAGCAGCAGAAGGTTGACGGACCTGGCAGCCCTTCTTGTGGTGAAAGCCGACCACCACGATGTGGAGCACCGGCCCCCGTGGCTCGTCCACGTCCTGCGGCTCCATACGCTCCAATCCGGGCTCCCACTCGTGGGGCTTGAACACAGCACGGAAGGAGGCGCGGTGTAATTCAGTCAGCCCACAACCAAATGAAACGGTACAAGCACAATACCGTAGAACTGTTCTCACTTCCGCCTGATCAGAGCGAGCAGAGAACAAAATTCAATAAAGGCAGGGATTGTCTGTCATTTCCGGCTACACCCACTAAACCTCATAGGATGAATAAAAACGACCACAGCAGACAATTATGACTGTGTTAATGTGTACATTGTTCACGCTTTGAGGATACGTTATAAAGTGTGTACTGGATATACCGAGCAGTTCTTATGGATTTGTTTTGTGTTTGGTCGCCGGATATCCGTAACAAACGACGGACCGGGGACCACCATCTTGTCAGTACAGTACAGTATTCGAAAACGCTCTTGACTTGGACTCTGTACTCTTTTGGGTGAATAAAAACGACCACAGCATACAATTAGGACTGTGTTAATGTGTACATTGTTCACGCTTTGAGGATACGTTATACAGTGTGTAATGGATATACCCAGCAGTTCTTATGGATTTGTTTTGTGTTTGGTAGCCGGATATCCGTCACAAACGACGGACCGGGGACTACCATCTTGTCAGTACAGTACAGTCTTCGAAAACGCTCTTGACTTGGACTCTGTACTCTTTGAAAGTAAATGATTACGTCATGTTTTACTACAACAAATTGCAGCGTCACGTGTTACTCATCGATGTGAGTCCTTCTCTTTGAGGACCTTTTTTCAACATAAATTGAATCGAACGCACCCGTCGATTCAAAGTCACATTTTTATTTTTTTTAATTCACATTCGCATTTGACAAGAAAACATCCTCGACATCGGGGCTCGACTCCTTTGGTCCGGTTTGCGGCTTTCAATTGCTTCTGTCTGAATGCTTTCATCAAACATGGCGGCAAATCAAGCGACGATGTTTTAATTGACGTTCGCATTTGACAAGAAAACATCCTCGACGTCGGGGCTCGACTCCTTTGGTCTGGTTTGCGGCTTTCAATTGCTTCTGTCTGGATGCTTTCATCAAACATGGCGGCAAATCAAGCGACGAATCCTTCTCAGTTGCTCCCGTTGGGTTTGTACATTTTAAGAATTATTTAAAAATATACATTCTAACATTATCGGGTTGGACAAATGACCCTGAGCACACTAAAATTCGCCTAACTTGAACAACAGATGATCGTAACATTTTACAGCTCGTGTAAGCGGCGTAGCTCTTCCGCGTGGTGTTAACATTTCATTTTTTAAAAGAGAATTTTTAGAGTATGATGTAGAAAAGTGGATATGTGTTAAAGCTAACTGTTGTACCACTAAATACAACACAGCATGGCGACACATTTGAATTAATTGCATTTGCACACCAATCCAGGTGTCCTGAATTTTGTAAGTAGAAATGACGATTACAATTCTGTCCATTCATAAGCCACGTTTGTATAAAATTACTGGGCAACAGTTTTTAATATTCAGAAAATAAGCTCAATAAATAAACACGATTTTGTTCATTTCTTGAATATATCCTGTCCTACGGCTGGGCAATTAATTTAGGTTTATTGCTCAGGGTAAATGGTTTTTAATCTTTTTTTGTTTGTTTTTCTATGTATGCAAATGTATGTTTTTGGGTGTTTCAGAGCTTGTGGACAAGTGCATCGGTTCTCGCATCCACATTGTCATGAAGACGGACAAAGAAATTGTCGGCACTTTGCTGGGCTTCGATGACTTTGTCAGTATCCTAAAAAGCAAACCTGTGCATTAGGAATGTCCCGATCACGTTTTACACCCAAGTCAGAGTCATTTGATTTTGAGTATCTGGGACTGTATCTGTTTATCATGTTGTTTTTCTGGTCATTGTGGAGATTCCATAACTTGTTGTGCTTAAGACATGGTCCTCGAGGATGTGACTGAATTGTAAGTAGTATATATTTTTTCCTGCTTCAAGTCTTCTGTCAGATGTTTCTTGTTCATTAATGGTGCATGTTCTCGTGCTTTAGTGAACTAACACCAGAGGGTCGCAGGATCACCAAACTGGACCAGATCTTGCTCAATGGCAACAACATCACCATGGTAACAAACTGCCCCGTTTGACAACTTAATGTGTCATCAGTATAAAAGATGAAAATAAAGATTTTGTGTTTCCTGTGCAGCTCATCCCAGGCGGAGAAGGCCCGGAAGTTTAAGACCGGCATCTGTTGGAGCAGTTTTGTTTTATTTTTGAATTTTTTGTTGTTCCTTCTTGTTCTTCAGGGTAGACGGGCACTTTTTGTAAAAAGCTTCTTGGTTTGACAATAAAAAGTGCAACATGAAGTGCGCACATACACACACACAAACAAAATGATACTGTTTTATTGATTACTTCAGTGTTTAACCCAGTTTATCTGAGAGCAAAAAAAAAAAAAATCTGCTCATGGGTCGCCTGTTTCAGTACATAGACGGCTTCTCCTCGCCTTTGGGATTGGTCACCTTGTCCATGTTCTTGCTGATCATGTCGTACAGTTCCACCTTAAAGGAAGGAAAGCAGTGTAAGAAACGTTAATTGCTAAACTCTTTTTTTTTCTTTCCTCCACTCACATAGAAGCTACGTAAGTCCAGGATGATCATTCGGATGTCGGAGTAGATGGCCACGTCCTTGTCATGGACCAGCGAGCGGTAGTCCATCTGAAAAGGAAACAAGTCCAGCTCTGTGCTCCCGAAAAAAAAAAAAAAAAAAAAAAACACAGATTTCCCCAACACCACGTGAGTGTCTTTGGACGCTTTGGCCACAGCGTCTCCCCTCTCCAGCAAGTACCTAAACCAGATCACGACGTGCCGTTCACAATTGCCGATTTGGCACAGTTTCTTGTTTTCACGCCTCGCCACCTACTTGTTGAGGTTCGTCTGAAAGCCTTCTACTTTCGTTTTGACTGCAGCGATTCTCTCCAAGATTTTCTCCTGCAAGCAAACAAAATGAGAAACTTGGCGTGTGGTGACATTTTAACAAGCTGTGATGTCACAGTATGTAATACGGCTCAAATCTGAAAAGCACACAGGCTAAAACGTACCTGAATGGCGACGCCAAAGTCATTACCGTCTTCAATTTTGGGGATGAGGTGCTGAATCCAGCTTGTGACCTGCAAATACACAGATGGAAGTCGCGCCCAAGCCAAAGCGTGTGGGGAATACTGTCCAAGCGGAAGCGTCGCCAGCCAGCTTACGGTGATGATGGTCTCTCTGAGGCTGACAATTTCGGGTTTCAATCTGCCCACCAGCGCCAAGATGATCTCGTGGGACTTGATGAAGCCGCATGTGGGCTCTGTGGGAGGAAGCAGAGGGCTCAAGCTCCATGACATCACAACCAAATCCCGGCACCACAGAAAGCATCAACAATACTTCACTTTTTTTCTTCTTCTTCTCTTCGTCCTCATTCGTCTCCATGTCCTGTCACAAAGTCACACGAGCAATTAGGGACCCACCATCATTCGTTCTTTTACCAAATTCCTTTTTGTCTGGACTACTGCAACGGCACCTTTTCAAAACGGTTTATAAAAGGGCCACTACAAAGCTGTGAACATTGGCATGAATTAACAAAAAGAGGTTCTCAAAGTGTGGTCAGTGGGCTCCCTCTAGCGGTACACATGTGCATATGTGTCAGTAGTGTCTTAAATCCATTTTAAGCATTTCAATGTACACGTGTCAGTAGTGTCTTAAATCCATTTTAAGCATTTCCTGATAATCAAGCAAGCCTTTATTCTTAATCTTATGGTGCGAAAGGACAGAAGCAACGTGTCATAAATTACTGACGCGCAAATTTCAAAGGAATCATGGTCAATAGAAGTCAGAAAATTCCCGAGTAAACACCTCATCGGCGGGGGGTGGGTCAGGTATGGGGATGTCCAGTGGAGCTTTGAGCGACGACATGTCTGTCACGCAGACATCCTGACAAGAAACATGTAATCACTTGACTGCTTTCATAAATTACATGAGACTTTTTAGACGGTCAAAGTCGAGCTTTGATTATCGTGTGTGTTGCTTGGCATTAGAATGGTTTTTATTGATTTGATTTTGGACCTGGAGCAGAGCGTCCATCTGGAGGATCTTGGAGGGAATGACAGTGGAGAAGAGATTTTTTGCCTAGAGAGAAAAAATGTCATGTTGCATCTTGAGGACATTACTTGGGAGATTTTTCCTGTAGTTTTTTTTTTCAGATTTGTCATATTAAAAAAAAAGAGGAACTGAAGCACATTTCGGAAACAAACCTCATTTGACATGGCCTGGTGGAAGGTTTCCACCTGCAAGAGATAACAAATAAGTGAAAATCGAAGACTGTTGAACGTTTACCCTCACGAACTGCTGACTCACTTCTCAATTTTACTTTCATTTTGCGTCAAATTTATGGCTTCCATTGCCAGCAACACTGAATCCATTCGTTAGAACACGTTAGTGATGCTAAACATGGTAGGAATTTTCTGCAGGCGAGTTTCTGGTCATTTTCCTTTGTTTAAAATGAAAACAAAAACTTACCCTAGCTGCATTTTCGCTGCTTATCTTCAACACGGAACTTTTGGGCATGGCAGCCAGAAAACTCCTTTTTTTCAAACGAGTAAAACAAAAACGTGAAAGTCAGCAAAAATGCAACAGCAGTACGAAGAAAAGCCTGATTTTATTTTATTTCCTCGTACGCTTGAGTTTACTTTCGATTTGAAGCACCGCCTATACCTCTCGCGTTTGACTGACTAAAACCATTTCCGCTTCGACCTTCAATTCAAAAGTAACGCATATTGTTCAATAAAATAAATGATATAATTTAACTCATATGGGTTAATGTATTTCTTGATTTGGTTTATGATTCTATTTCCTCCACTTTGTTGGAAAATGTTCCCATGAAAATCACCAATCACGACGGAAGTACACTCGAAGCGTTTTCAATTTACTTTTAATGTGAAAACCAAACCGGACCGGACCAGAAGTAGCGTTGGATCTGAACTTCCGACTTCGTTCTGCCAATATGACTACTCGATTAAGTTCAGGTGAGGCAAAACGTCTCGATTGTCAATGTTTTCGTATTTTTTTCTTAAATATTGTCTTTTGGGTAAAAGCTAAGTCAAGTTAAACGGTGCTTGTGTGTACGCGGTGACGCTTCTTGTCTCACTGAAGCAAAGTTTGAGTACATGAAACGTCGACGTTTGGCTTGTATGTCGCTCGTTGAAGTTGAACTCGTTCAAAGACGACAAGAAGTATTACTTGACACGACCATGTACTGTGAGAGTTTTTTTTCCAACTTGTTATTGACAATATCAATACCTTTTTTGTTGTTCCTCTGGGTTTGGATTTTACTGGCGTCATTGAAAGCAAACGATACGTCTTCGTTCAAAGAGAATGCCAGAGGAATTATTTGCAGGAAAACTATTCGTATAGTTTTTTTAATGTCTTTCAGTTGAAGTTCTGATGTTCCTTACATTGTTTTTGATACCTGCGCCATGTTTCCTTCATCACACTGACAATATGTTTCTCACAGATTGGATTAAACATACACCAAATGACGCCTCTATACACTTTAAATGTGAATTAACCTGTCTCCCCAGTTTATTTGCAGTAAGTACCAGCATTAGGCAGATGGAGGAGGCAAGGAATAGAGCCATAGCCTACCTTACCTCAGGCCTGGGCCAGGGCGGAAAGGCCGAGGCCCAGTTGATGGCCAACTACCCACTGCCACTGTCCCAGAAGTACCGTCACCTCATGGTGGAGACCATGCTTAGGGAAAATGTGTCTGGCAGCAGCAGAGCTCAGGTCAGCACTTGACATTTGACTCCTAAGTTTTGATGAAGAGACGAGGGATGTACATTTCATAACATTTAGCTGGTTAGAGTACATATACGTAAGTTGAACCGAATTGAAAATGGGAATTTAGAATGGTGTAATCTTTTCCATTCAGGTGTTGGATTCGTTGAATAATTTGGTGAAAGCCTTGAGCATTTTGGAGAAGTATGGCTTCAACCTGACCAGCGTCACTAGGCCCAAGTTCTGGCGCAGCGTCAAGCACAACAATCCGGTCTTCAGATCCACCGTGGACGCCATCCAGGTGAGCGCCGCCACTGGCGTCTTGTCGACAACC